GCCGGAGGCCGTGACGACTGGGGGCAATGAGTAGTACAGAGTATACTGTCTGGCTCGAGAGCAAGTGAGATTCCAATAACAAAGTTGATTGACGAGGTTGAACACGATGCCATAAGGGCAGCGTGTCTACTTGCTATATACTTGAGCAGAGGATTGCTCAGATCGCTCGGTACCGAGTATACTGATCGTACCGAATATACTGCTCGCACTGAGTATACTGATCGTGCTGAGTATACTGCTTGTACCGAGTATACTGAGATCGATGATCATACTGAGTATTGCAGACGCGGCCTCACTGCTTGGGTCAATCGATACTACAGTTCCTTGGCTCCTCTCGTATCGTTGCGTAGTCCTGTCTGTTCAGTATTGTTGCGGGTTGCCCTTTGATCGTAACAGGTATTCCCATACTTGGTCTCTTTCACACCCCTATCTTCAACAAGCCTGAACCTTCCTTCCACCAATCCATCCATCTCAGAGAGCATTTGGTATCCCCAGCTGGCCCCTTCTCCCACTATTCTATAGCTAGTAACTTCTCATCCTTCTTTACATATTATTGAGCCCAAGCTGTCAGGGGGCAGGGTTGCAGCCAGACCAAATGGACCCAGAACCAAATTGAAGAACGACAACTCCAATGACATGAGCTACCTGCTAGTTACACTTGGCTATCGTCCCATGGGACACTAGACCATTTGTATTGTTAGCAAGATCACATGGATTTGTGGGGTTACTGTACGACAGAGGTCGACCCTTCCCACCGCCGTTATAACGTCCAACCTGCCTTACCAGTGCTTCCTCAGTACGTGTTTGTAACACAGGTACCCTACTCTCTTCAGGATGGCTGTTGGTTACCTTTCAATCCATCTACTAGCTGTGAACGTGAGCACTGTTTTAGTACAGCTGTCCGCACTATCACCAATGGTTGGAACAAGCTATCCCTAGCTACTGTTGAAGCGCTTCAGATACAAAGAATCGGCTCAAGAACCATGTAGTGGGGAGCCCCCTTCGTCAAACCAAGTAGTTGTATATTATGGAAAGCATCAAGAGCTATCCAGAGGCTTGATTCACTCAACACCTATGCTGAGTTGTAAGTATGTAATAACACCAAAAACCGAGCGGTAATTACGAGTATAGGCCTCAGCTGTACAGTACTACGTCTCGTTGGACACGCTGGTCCCTGCAAACGACACGACGTGCTTGCCCCACTCATCCAAAATACACCTATCTGCTTCCTTTCCTTCACTCACATGGGCTTCCAAGGCAATTATACAAGCGTAGCCCATTCAGTCATTTGCCCTGATGCTCATGCCCGTTTTTTTGACAAGATGGAGCTGCACCCAATGCATGTCCCGTTATTGCAATTGGGCATTTGCTAACCCACTGCACAGCACTGAGCGCAACCAGCGCGACTTGCCTCTTCTGCGCCTACCACCTGGAGCTTCGCAATAAAATCTACGGGTACGCAGTCCATCATAACGAGGTTTTCGTTCGAGCAGACGGAAGCTTCGCACAACGACCCCTATGCCCTCCGAACGCGGCCTGGAGATATTTGTGTCCTGGACTTGGAGTGACACCCCTCTTCTCGACCTGCCGTCAGCTTCGCCGCGAGATCTTGGGACTACAATTCGCTCGTATCACGTTTTGCGGGTTTGCGGATAACCATGTGTCGCACTGTTGGGTGCGGGATGTTCAGAGGTGTAGAACAGTATTATTGAGTGTTCTGTAGTGTGTCCTGTGTTTATGTTGACCCTAGTATCCCAGCCCAACTTATTTACAGGAACCTTACGGCATGCTTTACTAATGCAAGTCACGTTCACAACAGTGCTGGCCTGCAACACCATGTTTTGTTCCTCTCGCACCCAGTATTCATCGAAAGAGTCAAATATATCGAAAGCACCAAGGCCCGCATCTCTGAAAGAAATCACCAGGCTCCTAGAAGAGAATATCAATCATCTTCAACAATGACACTTACGAATTTGTAGTCAAGCTACTTGAGCTTAGAGATGGGGGGTAACGCTCCAGGCGCCGGGGGTATCGGTACGTCGGAGGAAACGAGATTAGGAGGCGCGTGGTCCGTGCCCACGCGGTTTTTCGAGAGGGGTGGCCTGTGCGTAGATTTTGGCCTTGGCAACGAGGCTGTTGACAGCCTCGTCAAAATAGTATCGCGACGAGAGCCTCACCACGCAATTGCCATTTTGCCCTATAGTCTTGGAGCACTATCTTGTTGCTACCAATATATTCGTTACTATGTCGTCGTACAGGCCTACGTTCCCCAAGTTGCGCAGTCAGATTGAGGCGAAGGTATGTCTCAGAAGCTGAAAACCTCGAAAAATAGACTGATTTCAAGCTCCAGCCCACCCAGGACGTCGCTACCGCCGAGGATGAGGAGTCCGCTGCTAATGCTCAACTGCAGACCGAGGCCGCCGCTAAGGACTGTGACATGGAAGACGATGAGTAAGTGTTCCCCTAGCTCCACACACATTTCCATACCCAAGGGTCGGCCTCACCGAGAAGCTGCCTGCTGTCTGCGCGTTGTTGTGGCGGCGCTGTCTTGTCAGCGAGGTACAACCTCGAGCGTTTCGAGCTTTCAGCTTCTGAGCCGCTTCGATGGTCACCATTGCAGAAAGACAGCGCCTCCCTAGCAAGCATCTAGCATCCAGCTTCTACTTACCCCGCCTGCCAGACCTCGTTTGTATCGACGTCCTGAGCTTGCAAGTTCAGCGCATGGCGTTTGGCGAGGTCGGTGAGCGTCCGCTCAGCGCGCCTCTAGCATCTTGCACCTCCCCCCCCCCCTACAAGACCTCGATTGCATCGACAAGTTGAGCCTTCTAGCTCTAACTGCAGCCTTTCATCGGTCTTGTGGATACCTCCCCAGCGCATCGCCAGCACCATGCTCCTTGGGCTTCTGCCCTGCCAGACTCGATTGCATCGATGTCCTGAGCTTGCAAGCTCATCAAACGGCTCCAGGCAGGACTGGCGGCCCGCTTCCCTCTTTACAGTCACCAGCGTCTGAAGGCCTAGATCTCGACCACATCGACATCCTTGACCCTCAAGCTCTAGACTTTGAGGACCTGGCTCTTAGGAACGAAGACATGCTCTGCGCAGCCTAAGCGCATTCCTATTCTTCCCTTTTCCCCTCCCATTCCTCGATTGCACCGACATCATGAGCACAATCCTTCCCAGCTTTGCCTTGAGGTAAAGTTGATGGGCTTTCCGCTCAGTGACGCCAGCGCTCTGTCCCCTCTCACCGAGCACTCAGTCCTGGAATGTCGGTATATCTGACCTTTTCTGCTATCCACTTTGCTTTATTTCTTCTTTCAGCGCTAACAATCTTCTGCAGCGCCACTCAGACTACTCAGACCCTCGAGCTCCCTCTCAGCAACGATCCCTTCGACTTCAATGCGATCAACCGTCCGCCTCGCACTTCCTTCACCCGCCGACTCCAAGGCTCCGCGCTCATAACTACACCAGGGCCACACTCTCCCACATATGAAGTTATCCAGACCATCGAGACTCCGCATGAAGACGTCGAACAGACCGACAATCTGGCCGATAAGCTTGAAGACGCCAACACTGTAAGCCCTAAGTCTGCTGACGACATCGAGATTCAGGCGCCAGAATCCCCTACAACTGCGCGCAAGACAAATGACACCAAGAAGAACAAGAGGAGCCCTGCTCAGAAGAAGAGGCCTGCAAGTGAGACGGTCGGTTCTGGTGAGGATGAAATTGAGGAATCTCCAAAGAAAAAGCCTGCTACACCGCGCAAGACGTCCGTCAAGCTCGAGACGATTAAGAAGGAGAAGACCGACAAGGTCGAGAAGCCCTACACCACACCTCTATTCCCCCGACGTTCTATTGCCAACATGAACAACGACGAGAAGCGCAAGATCACACAGAACAAGTTGTTGTGGGCTCTCATCTGGGGCATGCGCCCTGACTACTGCGACCTCTCGCCAGCTCAGAAGGAGGTAAGTCTTGAGATATTATCTCTGCAATCTCTTTCTTTCCGACCTTTCGCTAACATGTCCTCACAGCTGTTGCCTCCGGTCAAGAAGATCATGTGTGTTCATTCCTTATCCCAGCAGCACCTCTTCCCGCAAACGTCCTTCTAGCCTCTCGTGATCTTCTTCATTGATGCTTTGGGGGGCAGCAGTTGCGCAAATCTCGGTATCCCCGACCTTCTCCTTGAGCAAAATCTAACTTTTCGACTTTCAGGGCGCAATTCTGGGGTAAGAAAGGGGGCGCTAAGCATGTTGAGAAGGGCGAGAAGGGCGAGAAGACCATTCCCGCACCTCGTTGCCACTCCTGCAGGTCCTCAGGCGCTGTAAGTCAGCCCTTTTCTGATTCAAGACCTAGTTCTTTTCGACTTTTCGCTGACGCAATGTAGAACGTCCCACCACTTCAACACCCTGATGGCCCCGACGGCAGCGAGGTGAGAATCCTCGTGCCCTGCGGACATGACTTTAAGGTATGTCTGAACCTCGATGGTGCCGAAATCCTTTCCCGCAAATACTAACATGCATGCATGGCGTTCAGGCCGCGGTGTTAGAATACCAGATGTACCTCAAGGGCTTCACTGCAGTAGGTTTCCATTGATGTCGATTCTTCCGACCTTCTGCTGATAGGATATCTTAGGACATGGTCACCGCGCAGACAATGCTCCAGCCTACTTCTACTATCGTCCCCAAGAACGGATTCCAGAAGAATGCGTACATGTTTCTGGCATTCTGGGAGCAATTCTTTGGGGAGTGGACTTGGGAGAGTGTAAGTTTGACCTGTCACCCTTTGAACGTCGGTGGTTTTGAGAAGAAGGGCTAGAATGCTAATTCTTTTCAGGTTGTCAACGATAGAGGCATGCAGCTTGCAAACTTCAAGGCTCAGCTTCAGTGGCGCGACGCTGGCTTCCATGCTCGTGAGTATTCTTGGTGATTTCGACGATCAGACATAGTTTCCGCTAATATTTCCTAGGTACGCCAGGCAAGCACGACATGAAGAAGCCAAAGACTCTGATCTACGAGCACACCAAGGCAGAGAGGGCCGAGATCAATAAAGGCGAGCTGGAGCTGCCCCCCTTTGCAGGCTGGCACGACGTCCCCAACAAGGCCGTGGTGATCGAGATGGAAGATGATGAGTAGAGGTGATAAGGAGAGATTGTCGCAGGTACAGAGGCTTAGCCCTCTTCATGTCGGACCTTGAGACTTGGTGAGGGCTTCCGTGAAGCAGGAGCTTTTATGATTTGTATACTAGATACCCTAAGCAGATGTTTCTGCTGCAGCGCCTGGCGCTTTTCCTCGCTAAAGGCGAGCACACATAGACGAAAATTGGTTCTACCGACATTCTTGCGTACATTGCACGGATTCTGAGAGAAGAATTTGCGGCAAAAGAGCTGTACGTCTTCCCATGTGCCGCGTTTGAAGGAATGTCTAGCAAAGTAAGCGATTTGTCGCTTTTACCGAGCATGGAGCTGCTGTTCTACCTTTGCAGTCTTGTGACGAATTGAGAAGCCGTTCTTTGTTGCTTGAGGCATGCTGGCAGTGCGTAGGTTTTGAAGCAAAAATCTTGGGCTGTCCGAGGAGACGGCCTTGTCGGCTCTCTAGAAAAGCTGTGATTGGCCTCAGCGTGATTAGTAACGGAGTGTTACCCTTTGTCGCTTGCGAATCCTCGAAACGTCCGAAATTTGGCGGGCTGACACCCCTTTTCGCTTAACAGTCGCAAGGGTAACACTCCCCATACAGCGGAGTCCGAACTCCAGCGCCTAGAACTCGAGCGTTTCGAGCTTTGTAGCGATTAGCTCTCCAGTGTGACGGCGCCGTGGGCCAGCAAAATTCACTCCAAGACCAGCAGAACATCTCAGAAGGGTAGAAATTGTTGCTGGAGTACTTCACGCGTGCAATTGGCCATACATTGATGCTGCAACTCGTTTTGCTCGATCTTGTTGAGGATTTTGGCCCGGAAGGTCCCTCAAAGTTGTATTGTACTTGCACCTGTACAAGAAACATCGCACCGCGCTCGTTGTTCCGTGTAATTCTAGTTCCGCATAATCCGGAGTGGTTCAAGCAGCCAATTGCTTGAAGATTACGAGATTCTGCGTTGTGGTTGAGTCAAAATATTTTTTGAAGGACTTTGGCAGTCGTTCAAAATTGGAGAAAAGTATCCCGCATCTTTCCTGGTTACAAGCTAACATGAAGGTTGAATCTCACTTTTTCCGACGTTTGAATACATCACGCTCGGTACGAGAACAATAACAGCATCTCTAATATTGTCTGCTACGTGCGCTTCACAGGCAGGGGGTGCTACAACGTCGATTGCAGCGAGGATTGCTGAGCGTCAGACCGAACAGAGCCAAGCCTTTGCAGAAGTATTGCCTGATTGGGCAAGTAACATTGCTGCGTTGATTGCAGTGGTCAAAACCTCGGGAGCCTGCCGGCTTTACAGAGGGCGCCTTGACGTCAATTGCACCCAGCACATGGTAAGGAACATCGGTTTACACGAGAAAAGCAGCTGTATTGTCTTATTAATCGAGGAAACGTTCATCTACTTCTTCTTCCCACAGAGGAGGCAAGCCCTGTAGCATACGCCATCGGGAGGCAATCTTTTCAGGTGTGTTGTACACCTTCTTCTCGTTGCCCTGACGGTACGAGAAAACCTCGTCAAAATCGACCAGATGAGCCTCCATTGCCGCGCGCACATCCTTTTCGTTGATTGAAAGTCGGATTGCACGAGCTTTCTGGACTATGGCCTTGAAAGAAAGCCTTGCCTGTTTACTTCCTTGCCCCCCTGGTATGTCTTCTGGCTTTGAAAAGTCTGCCCAGAAGTGCGCCTCCGTTTCGTAGAGACGATAGACGCTGACGACCAGCTAGCGCAAGATCAGCAGGCTACAATATCGAAGGAGTAGAGGACAACATACCTTAAACTCGCTAAACTGCTTTGTATTTGTTCTCCAGAAGTCTGGGAATGGTTTCCGAAGAACGCTTGGCCACAGGCGCATAGGAATGGGCACCCCATGGTATTCCAGAAGACTTGGGTTACCGTGATCCCAGTCATGGACGATCTTGCTGACGAAGTTGCCATACTTCATCTTTTTAACCGGAGGCTTGATATCTCCGAGGAAGAACGACAGAACCTCGTTGCCAACGATGATTATACGCCTTACGCGCGGCTCGGACTGCCGGCGTGATGGAGTCTCTGGGTCTCCATGTACGGCAGAAGTTGGATAAGTCGTATGAAACGACGCTGGAGCAACAAAATGACTGCTTTGCGGTGTTGCAGGCGCCGGCGTCCGCACTGGCAGCTGGCGCCCAGGCTGGTAGCGGATAGGTTCAGATGCAACAACGTCTTGGAAACCGAGGAATGGCGTTCCTGATGTTGGGGGCGGCTGGTTGGGAGACGGGACAAATTGAGGTGGGGCTAGCGGTGGGTAGGATGGAGTAGTGCATTGGGGCTGAGCAGGTACGAGGTAGCTGAGTGGCTCAGGAGGCGGACGAGGTAGCCGTGTAGGGGTTTGAAGACCTCTTTGTATCAACTTCTCGTTTATTCTGACTTTTCGGTACTCCTGGTATTGTTTTGCTCGATGGAGCATAACAAGGAGAGGGTTGAGGGTGGTGGCTTCTTGTAAGGAGAGCGAGGGCGCAGGGAAGCCGTAGAGGCGCCTGCAGGCCACGATTAGCCGGAGAACCTCATGACAATTGAGCTTGGTCGCACATCTCCTCGATTATCACCTCATCCTTGGCAGTCAGTCGGCCTCTTTCAGCAAGGGCGTTGGCTGCCTCATGTAACTTCTTGACGTTTGAGTTTTTCTCGACTCTTCCGAGGCTTACACCTTGCTTTGCTGTCTTCCTCCCTCTTGTTACCTTGTCAAGTGGTTCCTTGCGGCGAGGCATGCTAGCATTAGAGTTTGATGTCTGCAAAGGATTCGAACCTCGATCTTGTCGAGGTTTACAGTCACTGTCACCTGGGCGACTGCTTGACCCATTGGCTCGGCCTACAAAAGTAAGAACTACGTCAAGTAGGAAGAGCGTCGGCGCGATCGAGCCAATTAACAGTGATGTTGATATCTCCGATGCTTGGGCGTGCGTTTCATGAATAAATCAAAGTGGGAAGGCTGGAATCCTCCGGCACAGTGCATTGATCGGTGCTACCAAGGTTCCCAACAGTTTCAGTTGGAGCAGCCGAGCTTCAAGGTATGGTACTCGCCGCAGCCGGCTCTTGCTCTTTGGCACTTGCGAGAGATTGGAAACCTCGAGCATATCGAGCAATAGTCACATATCACCATGTTTCAAGCAACGCGGACTGCCTTCTCCAGCATCTGTTCGTCATTGTCGCGCGATGTCGCGCGGAACAATGCTGAGACCGACCCACGTACAGATCTCGATGTGGACGAGGAGTTCGAAGAACAAGATCGGTTCCTTGCAGAAGCTGGGCAGAATAGTCTCAGCAACACAGACTCTACCTGGGAGGCCTTGATAAGTAGCATCCAGAAGGACGCAGAGGGCGCGCACGCAAAACGAACCCGGGACAACTACTCCTCGTACGTTCCGACTTTTTGGAATGTGGACCTCTATCTAACTGACCAAACAGGCAGATTTCAAAGCTCCAGAGCTATGCTGACAAGTACGCCCCCGCCCACTCAGATCTGACGGTTGTCAATGAGCACACACCGCACCTCATCTGTGCCTGGATCAAGTTCTACTGTGGTAAACCTCGGTCAGCATGGGACACAGCTACAAACACGTCGGATGACCCGAACTCTGCAGTACCATATAACAGAGGAGATGCGCATTCATGGTCGGCTGCTTCGACTATGCGGGCTGCGGCTAGCTACATGTATATCATGAAGCAAAACCGCTCTGCATCCTCATTCCAGCAGAGCAATGATAGCAAATGGCTCGGTAACCCGTGCAACTCAACTTTTGTTCGCCAATATATGAAAGCCCTCAAACGTCAAAAGGTGCGTTTATCCTCGGCTGAAACTAGATTTATAGCTTACAAGGACTCCGGACAGGCCCGGGAAGGAGAGTCGCCCCAGAGCGTGATGGCGATAACAGAGGAGAAAATCAAGCAGCTGTACGAAAAGAACTCTGAAGCAACGCTTCAAGCTCTGTTCAACCGAGCAAGAGCGAGAGAAGATCGGTCCTGGGGAGGACCTCGCCAGAGACTAATGATGAGTCTTGCTTATGCAATATCATTCCTCTGCTTGCTCCGTCTGGACGAGGTTTTGAACATTCAAGTCGAAAACTTCACGATCCACAACCTGCAGACTGGAAAATTGGAGATTGTGTTGGACTTTCGAAAGACACAACAGGCTGGGGGTATGTTGTTCCGACAATTAAGCAGCTGCTAATCTAGTTTACAGAGGTTCAGCCCTTTTACCTCTACTACAACCCGGAGAAGCCCTGGTTAGATGTCCCACGGCTGTTGCTTGAGTGGCTCCGCGCGTCTCAAATTGAGGAGGGTTACGTGTTTATACCGTTCTACCACTCGGATCAACCAAAATCCATGCCTGGGACACAGAAGAAGCTAGTAAGACATGGATGTAATTTGCTTGCAATCTCAGAACTAACGATGTTGTAGTCCCATGCAGTCTTTTTGCAAGACTTTCGCTACAATCTCCAGGAAGTTGGGGCAAAGTATGAGATGTATGGTGGCCACTCCTTCCGCCGGGGTGGTGCGCAGTGGTTTATTGGTGTTCGGCGCTGGAATGTTATAAAGCTCTGCAGGTACGGTGGCTGGAGCAAAGAGTTTGACCCAGTGACGATTATACGTTACTTGGTCGCTATTTTCGACGAATGGTTCATGAAACCTGAGGACTACATGAACCCCGACTACCAACAAGAGGGCGAGATGTGTCCTGCCTGCCTCCGTAGGTGTGATTGCACGTAGTAAACGTCAATGAAACCAAGGCTCTACGGTTGTCGCCTCCAATCTAGATTGAGGGCGGCTGGGCCATTGTTTGTGGAACACGAGCCAAGAACCTTGTACAGTGTGATAGGTTGAGCCAGTTAGCCGATTTAAACGAGGTTTCTCCCCGCTCAAGGCCCGGCACAGCTACATCCCTTTATCGCTCCAACACCACCCACCGACCTTAACCCTTATCCTTTCCATCAAGTTTCTCGATTGCATCGAGTTTCTTGATTCTTATTCTATTCCTTTCTCAATTCACAGCGGTCTCGCAGTAGGGATGCAAACAAGAGCGAGAGCTGGCAAGCTTCAAAAGCCATCGCAGTTGCTGCAATCGAGCGAGACGCTGGCTAGGGATCCCCTTGCCAAAAACATCGTAATTTCCGACAATTCTGCACAACGGCGGCCTGGTATTTACGATTTAGGCCCAAACAGTACTGATGGCATTCCCCCGCCGCCACTTCCGTCTCGGCGGACTAGGAAGGCCACCAGTAACGTTGAGTCCACCGAGCCTGTTGAGCCTGCTAGGCAACGCAAGGGCAAGTCAGCTGCGCCACGGCGCCAATTGAAGGCCTCAGCCCCCCAGCTCCCTCCCACGGACTTGCTTTCTCGACAAAACCTCAAAACTGTCGAGCATCAGGCTAGCCCTGACCCCGGTCAGGCCATGCAGGCCCCCAGCAACCTCGACACCATCGAGGTTGCCAGCTCTCCATCGCCCCTGCAGGCATCAACCGATCTGCAAGGCCCAACACGGCAATCGGGGAGTCCTAAGCCAAGCAATGTCGAGCCTGCCGAAATTCCCCGCGGATCAACCAACCAGAGGGTGAACGTTGCAAACTCTGAACAAATCGGGTTGATTCGTGGCCTTGTGCGGGAGGTTGCGACCCTGGACGCTCCAATCCTCGAGCGTATCGAGGTTTGCAGCAGCACTTCTCCCTCGGCGTTGTCGGTTGACCATGAGCCATCAGGGCCTGGCAGCCCCTTGGCGGCCGGAGCAGCGCCGCTTGATCGCGAAAACCTTGACAATATCGAGAATTTGCGGCAATCGGCCTCTTTCACAGCTGCGGCAGCTGCAGAGGAAAACGAGATCTGTGCCGCCCCAGAGTCATTATCAGCGGGCGACTTCTCTAAAGACGTCGAAAACGACGAAGTTCAAGTTTGTCGTACTTGCCATTCTCCAAAAACTCTCCTGCTAATAGATGTAGAAGCCACCACCTCGGAAGCGCCGAACAAAACAACGTACAACGGTGACCTACCCGCGACGGCCGCTCCCTGAGCCTGCAGCTTCGCAGCTTCGAGCAATCTGGCAGCAAAGATGGGGTGAGAAGCCCAACATCGTCACAAGTGAGGATAAGCTTCGGTAAAGTCCTGTTCTGCGATGTTCCATACCAGTTGTTCGGCACTGATAAGCTTCCAGCGTTGAATTCTGGGGAAATGGAGACTCTAAACCCCGTTGTTATAGTTGTCGGAAAGGCTTGTGTGTAAGTCTCTAGGCTGTCGTTGCATACGACTTTCTTTAAGCTAATTGTCATCTTTAGCAAATGTTGCCTGATGAATTGGCCCCTGATGGCACTGAAGAGAGAGAGCTCCTCCCTTGCGGTTGCTTATACGACGTAAGAATCATTATTTAACCTCTGCGCAATCAACAATTGCTAACTGATTAGGCGGCAATGCTTGAGATGTGGTGTGTAAAGAAGGGCATGTTTGTTGTAAGTAGCTTGTACGATTTGCGTACCGTTGCTAATTCATGTGGCAGGATGCCGAGCTAAAACGGGAGAAGCTCGATCCTAATGTCGATTGGGTTGAACACCTCGGGCCCAAGACGTTTGGTAAGCACAAGCTGCTGCTGCTTCGCTTTTGGGAAATGATGTTTGGACCGTTCAATTGTCAAACTGTATGTCTTTTGCTGCGACGTTCCTCTACTACGTTGTCTGTAACTGACGTTGTTAGCTCTTTAACCTCCACGGGGCTCGGGTTAATGCTGTGTGGCAGTTCTCTGAGCTGGAGACACAAGCGCTGGCGCAGTTTGGTACGCTATAACCTCTTCTTGTTCGACCTTCTCTTACAGGATCCTCACAACTAACGACTACAGGTCCTAACCCAGGCTACGTACAGCTTGAGAAGCCGCCTCGGGCCAGGCCAAAGCGGAAACGAGACGCTGTCCCAGTTAATCCAGCCCTCTGATCAGCCAGTGTGCCTTTGCGTTCAAAGGCTCAGCGTGGCCGACATTTGATTGAGATTATGTTTGTACTTCAGTCATCATTCAGCGTTCCTGTCTTTCTTCCAATGATACCCACAGTTAATGCAGCCAACACAAATTGCAATGCTTTAGTAAATGAAAACCTCCTTGATTCTGTGCTCTGTAAGTCTCGCTGCATTGCTAAGAAGCAAAATGTCGGCTCTAATGATGTTGCGCCAGTTAAGACTAGAAGCGCTGGCGACAAGGACGTGGTATGCCAAAGTAGTGAGCACGCATGCCCTTGGCTTCACATACCTTTCCATACCCAAAGGTCGGCCGCACCGAGGAACTGCCTGCTGTCAGCGCGTTGCGGCGGCGCTGTCCCCTCCGCAAGGTAAAACCTTGATTGTTTCGAGCTTTTTGAGTTCTTGGCCGTGTCAGCGGTCCCCAGCGCAACATGGCGCCGCCAATCCAGCAAGCCTTCGGCATCAGGCTCATACATTTCTTTGCCAGTCAGCTTTTTGAGCCAGCAGACTCTGTGCATCGCCTTCAGAAGGGATGGTGAGCGCCCAGTCAGCGCGCCTTCAGCATCATACTCCTTTGACTTCTTTCCTGCCAGACCTCGATTGCATCGACATCCTAAGCCTACAAGCTCAGCCCCTGGCCCCTGGCAGGACTGGCGGGCATGGCGCCAGCACATCGCAAGCATCACGCTTCTCCCTTCCTCCCAGCTCCCTCATTCACAGTCACTGAGGTCTGACGACCTGGATCTCGATTACATTGACATCCTGGCCTCCGAGCTCCAGGCTTTGAGGACCTTTTTCTTATGAAGAGGCTACGCTCTGCGCCGTTTGGGCGCATTTCCGTCTTTGACCTTTCCCTTCCTCTTCCTCAATCGCACCGACATCCTGAACAGCATCCTCCCCAGCTTTGCCCTGAGGTAAAGTTCATAAGCTCTGTTCCCAGCAGCGCCGGCGCCCTCATCCCCTCACTCAAGTGCTTCTCCCTTAAACGTCGGCACCACCGGCCCTCGCCGCTGTTTCCAATGCTTTACTGATTCCTTCATCTCTTGCAAATTTCACAACAGTTGCGCCTTGAGGTTTTATAGCTGTAGCACCCAAAACATCGATGCTATCGAGCTTCACTGGGGTTTTTGTAGCTGCCAGCTCTACTAATATATTCATCAGGTCCGTTGAAGTGACCGAGTTTGTGGCCCAATTCCTCAGTGATGTCCAGAGTGCTAGCCCTTCCCCTTGTGCACGCATCGCGACATGATCTGATGAACGCGCCCTCACTGCTGCGACCCCATCCCAGGCAAGAAGGAGGTCAGTCTTGAGATCGGATCACTGCGACCTCTTTCTGTCCGACCTTTTGCTTGCACAGCCTCACAGCGTCCTCTTCTGTTCTGCTAGATTGTGCGTGTATGTTCCTAGAACCAGCATCTTGCCTTCTTGCTAACATACGCGGTCCCTTCGAGATCCTTGCCTCAAATGCTGCATCCCTCAGGACTATTTCCCTATGCTGGACCCTAGCAGAGCTGTAATGGTCGGTATCTTCGACGTTTCTAAGTGTGAAAGCTACCCTTTTTTGACTTCAGGGTACGCTTCGGCTTCTGTGGGAGGCAAGCTTCAGGTGTAGAAAGTACAAAGACAGATTGCACTACTAGACTCCAAAGAGCTGGCCTACACGGCTTGGAAAGAAAAGTACAAAGTCCTAAGTTTTCAAACCCAGGACCTCTGCCTTTTCGACTTTTTGCAACTGCAATGTCACTTGCCCCGACGTCTGGCCCTGGTGATGGGTAACATGGAAGAAAGGTTCCCAAGCTTGACTGTTGCAGGCATCATTTCAGTAGCTGTCTGAATGTTGATAGGAGTGACATTGCGTTTCAACAGCGTCGGCATTACCAACGTTTTGGTGAAGGTTGTAATTTCCAGCAATACGTTCTCAATTCTCGGCTGTATTGATCTCCTTCCACACTAAGCTTACGCTTCAGCGCTCTAACTCTCAGCATAGGTCGGTAGAATTGACATTCAAGGTGTTTTCTCTCTAAACACTGCCTACTTGAGCACATGCCATGTCCGACGCTTGGCGTGCAGCTCGATGATTTCGAGGTTTTCCACGTTGGAGTCTACTGCGCCGACCAATCAGGCAATGGATGTCAGTTACGCGCTAGCTGGGGCTAAGCGCGCGACGCGAGGGCTGAGGGGTAACGCTAGTCCAGGGTGGAGTCTTACCCTCAGGAGATGAACACGGCATAGGATAGTAGATGGTACGTTCGTTGGAAAAGTAATGGTACGTTGATGTTCTGATGACTACGCAGATACATTGTATATTTTATCCCTAACAAAACGAGCGTGTGAAATAGTACGTTATAACGTACCATTTACCCGTCTGGGATATTGACTGTGGTCAGAAGGTTGTTCCGGCACGAAGAACCAACAGGAATCAACGTCAAGCCAGCAATGAGCACCAGCTGGAGTGCTTTTCTGCAGACACTCGAGGGCCATAACGATCGTGTCAGCTCTGTAGCCTTTTCGCACACTCAACAAAGCCGGCGTCAGTGTCATACGACAGCACCGTCAAGGTGTGGGATGCGAGCAGCGGTGTGTGCCTGCAGACGCCCGAGGGCCATCACAGAGATGTTAGGTCTATTGCCTCTTGCACGACTCGACAAAGCTGACGTCAGGTTTTCAGCCGCACGAAATCAACCAATCAATAGACATCATGGTACAAGCCAAGAAATTCTCATTTCAGCCGGCAATCAGCTCAGGAAGTGAGGCGGGTTCTTATGCAACATTCTTACTATCATGCTCAGCTACGCCGACACTGCCAAGATACTTACGCTAGGCCTCAGTTGCAAGGGCTCGGTGATGTTGAAAAAGTTGGAGACAAGAGGATATGTGCCAAGCTATGCAAATTCGATCCAAAAACGAGGTCTCACAGCTTCACGAGAACGGTGATGGAAAGTGGTATATAATGCCTCCTATTTCCTACCTCAACACCATCATCATCATACCAAAGCTTCAAGCAAATCCGACAATACTACAAAATCATTCCTGATTTGCACATAAACTCCACCAACCTTCAACTCATCAGGCCAAGAGACCCTTTGCCACGAAAATGCACGCTAAATCTATTTTGCAATCCCTCTTCCTTGTTGCGGCCATCGCGCCGGTGTCTGTACTCTCTTGTTGCGGGACGGGAGGTACTACCTTGCAATGTCTGGGTAAAAGCACCAAAGTTTGTGATGATCTGACGTCCGGAACTCCCTGTTGCGGCAATGGAAAATGCAATGTCTTCTGCTGTAATTGCGATAGAGGTACGTTTTCCATATATCTTGCTATCAACTTCGGAACCTCAGTATGAGAGCATGTGCTGATAATCATACGATCTTTCGCAGGCTGTCGCAAGTCTTCAAATGCCATCGGTATAACGGAAGCTTGCAATCGCATCTTTGGGAGTACTTGGCGCAAAACTTCCCGAAGCCTTGGGGAACTCTCAGATCTTGAGGACGACAAATCGGTGCTCGCGATTGCGGATACAGACAAGTCAGGCGATGTAAGCCTTGCGGAGTACTTGCAATACATGGGACAGCGAGAAGATAATGCTGAATACGTTAATTGGTTCAAGCAGTAAGTTTGAATACAGGGATGAACTCCGATGATATGACTCGTAGCTAACCTGCCTCTAGGCATGACAGGAATGGGGACGGCGTACTTTCAGATGATGAACTGCGCCTGGCATGAGAAATCATATGCTTGTACAATTGGTGTCCCTGCCTCCTTTGGGATGAACGTCCTCTCTCGGTACTCTCGTTAATTTCCATAGGTGTCTTCAACATAGAAAACTATATAAATGAATAGAATTGGTCTCTTCTTCCTTGACTCGGCCACAACAACTTCACTCGGAGTCCTTCGCTGCAAGTTCTCCCCTTGTTCAATCTCAAGCAATGCTGCACGCTTCTCAATTGATCAACAAACCTTCCTTCAAATAATTATTATCGTTCTTGATGGTATCCCAAGTTTGAAATATGGTGTGGTGTATGAGTATGAGCCCAATCTCTTGTACCGTGACCTTTTCCGCTTGACGGGAATGAGTCTTGGTATGATCAGCACAACGTTCATAGTGTAACGGGCTGCGCCCCGGTTACCGAGTCCGTGCGCGTGACGCCTACTATCGCGTGATGCCCCGCCGAGCCTTTATTGACTTATCAAAAAATGAGGATATTGAGCCACACCCAGTAGCTATTATTGCGTAACTTTGTGGTGGAGTAGTAAATAGACCTATCTGAACAATTTGTGCTACTTATATTTACTTGGAAGCTTGACGTTGCGACCGCGGCAGGTGGTGACAGGTAGGGAGGCCTATGTGGTATCCCCACACTTGATCCCTTCTTTATCACTTATCCTTTTTACCACTTGTGGTATCCCCACACTTGGTCTCCTCTACACCCTTATCTCCAACAAGCCTGAACCATCCTTCCACCAATCCTTCCATCTCAGAGAGCAGTTGGTATCCCCAGCTGGCCCCCTCTCACAGAGATCCACGTTGTATCCACTGCAGTCCTTTTCGTACAATCTTGGTTCGTACAAGGGGGTGACATGTACAGGTTGCCCCCCCCCTGTAAATTTTTAGTGCCTTGGCAGAGCTCAGATGGAAGAATTGAGCGGTCACCACTTTGTGTGGCCACCATTAGCTTGAATTACAGCTATACAACGCTCTCTCATGTTTACAGTATACTTGGAGAAGTCTGCTACCTCAACCTTTTCCCATTCCTCCTCTATATACTGTCGTGCCTGCTGCAGTGTAGTAGGGAATTGTCTACCAACGCGGTGCTTGAGGATCCTCCATACGTTCTCAATAGGGTTGAGATCTGGTGAATTAGCAGGCCAGTTCATCCTAAGTATACCAAGCTCCTGGTGTAGAGCCTGGGTAGCCCTGGCTGTATGCTGTGAGGCACCATCTTCCATCAAGATAGGTACCTGGATAGATGCCTTCTGAGCCTCCTTATACTCATGTATCACTGGTACAATACGCTGGCGATAGACCTCTCCATTGATAGATCCCCAGTCTTTCTCAAAGACTACTAGTGGGCCTTTGCTCCTGCTTGTAATACAGCCCCAGATCATCCAGGCAGAGTAGCCTCTAAACTTAGGTATACAACAGGCAGGCAGGTACTTCTCCTCAGGCTGGCGAGTGACGTATACCTGACCAAAGCCTCCACAGGTAACAGAGCACTCATCTGTCCACAGCACTCTTGACCACTGCCACTCATTCCAATTGACATGGAGGCGTGCCCAAGCAAGGCGGTCATACCGATGCTTCTCTGTAAGAAGAGGCTTCTCTGTTGCTACCCTTCTAAAGTAGCGTTCCTTCTCAAAGGCAGCAGCTAGCGTACGCCTACAGGCTGAGATATTCTCTAGCTCAGCTATGTGGAGCAGGTTCAACCGTCTATGGTAGCCATCAGCTGTTGCTTGTGCAATAAGGCGCTGACGCTTTGGTGTGTCAATAAGCAGAGGCCTACCTTGAGGCCTCTGAGGTGTGTCTGGGTGGCTGACTGTATATCGTATGCTCGATCGTGGGATGTTAAGTGTCTGGCTGATGTGTGTGTATCCCAACTGTGCGTAGTTGTAGAGCGTCAAGATCTCAATGTGTTGACGATAGGTAAGACGGCCGCTAGTTGTAGCTGACTGCGTAGCAGCGTCGCGTGTGCGGCGTATGGACGGCATTCAATATTGCTGAGTACTGTATGAACACACTGGTGAGAATTCTTCCATCTGAACTCTGCCAAGGCACTAAAAATCTACAGGGGGGGGGGCAACCCGTACATGTTACCCCCTTGTATAACAGATATTGCGAGTGTTGATTATACTGGGTATCACTGACGCGGCTTCACAGCTCGGTCAATTGATACTGCAGTTCCTTGGCTGCTCTCGTCTCGTTGCATAGTCCTGTTTGTTCAGTGTTGTTTTGCGAGTTGTTCATGGATCGTAACAGAATGCTCCACTGCAATACCCAGTTCTTGTCCATCCGTTTTACTCGTAGCTCGTGATACTCCACAAGTTGAGCTTCGAATTGCATGTCTGCTAATGTCCAACCAGTGGCTTCCAGGAGAAAGTTGCGGAACCCTATTATAGTGAAGCGAGCACCTTTCCCCGCTGGTTGCTTGTACAACGATTGGTTGTTGTCTTCTGCCAAGCCAACTTGGCGGCCCCAAATAGTACCTCCTGGTGCCGCCAAATATACCAAATTCTGGAAGAAGATCTTCTGATCCTCCACATTGAATAGATGAATCACATTTGCGGTATGGACAAAATGAAAGCGATGTTGGAGATTGCGAGCTTTGTCCTTGAAACTAGGATCGAGCATATTTGCTAGGAAAAAGTGATGGCCACTGGATGCCTTGTCTTCGTTGTAAAGATAATGGCCTAGGTCCAAGAAACCTGCTCCGTCGGATACATTTTTAGTGGTCAATATCCATAGATACTCGAAGGAGACACGTTTCTCAAGGTCTAGACCCACGATGCGCTGTTGTAGATGTTAGCCAGATGCCTGGGTCAAAGGCTTACTTGGTTTACCTGAGAAGGATAACCATCCAACATTAGTTTTCGGATATCTGTTCCCATGCAACATCCAACATCAATCAGTAGGCTCTCAGAGCCTCGTGAATTCAGAATTTCTGAATACAAGAAATGGTGGTCTATGCGGGGTTCCGCAAAAAGGCTTTCACGTATGCAAGTATGGGGGGCAATCTGTCCAGTTCAGTAAGACTTCCATCTCAAAGTGTCGCAGGCAGATATACGATTCATTATTGCAGCATCGCTTTCCACAGTTTGTGAGAAATGCTTCTGAAGCTCGAAGGTTTCACCATGTCTCATCAGAAATACTTCGTCTGGCACTAGAGATTTGAACAGAGGAAGGCGTAGTTCGAAAAGTCCTATTTGTGAGCGATTAGATTTGGAAGGTGTTGGTAGGATCCAGAACTCCGATTGTTCCTTAACTGCCATGTCTTGGATTGGAAGCTGCCCCCAACGCCACCCAAAGACATCGAAGAGCACTCCTCTCAGGTCACTGACGAGCCGAACCCCTAGCGCCAGCTTGATGAAGAACACGTCTGGACGCTTTGCAAATTTTCTGCTCAGCAAAGCGCAGGTAAAGAGTGAGTTGCTGAGGATGTCTTGGGCGACACTTGCCTTCTTGGGGTGTCTTTGTACCAGGTTGAAAAGTGGCTGCAGCAGATACTCAAATTTGATATTTGCTGTGGCCTTGCCGATTGAGTCGACGCTGACTTTGTAGTCAATGCTCAGACCTTGAGTATTGAAGTCCCAAGAAACCACAGTACCAGACTTGTTTGAACTTTCGGTGAGATCATCGCAAAGCAAGTCTGAGTACAAGACGTTGAAAAAGCCGTCGTTGTAGATAGATTTAGCCATGTCCAAAAGCGGACAGTGGGAACCGTATACTTCATAATCGAGGTGCATCATCCCCGGGGAAATGTAATCTTCAGTGACTAGCACATTTCTTCCATGACCATCTCCTAGCCCAAATGCTGTTAGGAGAGAGCTTAGACAGGCAGTCGCACCGGGATCAAGAACACGTTCTGCTTGGTCCAGGTAGTGGTGTTGTAGGGGCGAGTGGATGGTTCCATTGATCGTGAGAGGCATATTCAGGAAGTCCGTAGTGTTGACCATCTTTGGAAGCTGTATGCCCAATACATCCAGATAGCAGTCTGAATAGAACTCGAGAAAACGTGAATTTGGTTCCAGTCGTGCATGATAGAATCGGTGGATTTTTTGCTGGGCACATGTGTTTCTGTTTGGTTCCACGTTCATTGTTCTGCAGTATGCATCGCCAACATGCTCTGCACTGTGCAATTCAATACCAACAAACCAGTCCACCACATCCATGAAAGTTTTGCAGTTCAAAAACAAAGTTCCACTGTAATATTGGAGTCGAACTGTATTCAGCGTCTTGCCCTGGAATTCTCGGAAGACAAGCTGTGACTTGTCGGCGGCAAGAAGCTGCTGTACGCTACCGGGCGGAAAGTACTGTAAAATTTCAGATATCATGAGGGACTCGTCAACGGCATACCGCGTTTTCTTGACAAAGACTTGTTGCTTTTCTGAGTTTGTTCCAAAGTGAGAAGACCCTCAGAGTTGGAGGTGAAAGGGGAAGGACAATACGGCTTAGCAGCTGCGCGGAACTCAAAGCTTCCCTCAATGATGCCAGGAGCTGGAGTCAAAGAGGACAAGACGTATTGTGGAGACCAGAAATCCCACGTAATAGGTAAAAGGCGTATAACATGATAATGCTCGTTTGCCCACCTTCTCTTTAAACTTTCCGTGTTTGTTCGAGGTGGCGTCCGAGAGGCTCCATGAATATGGCCAAATTGGACTTGAAGTTGCTGAGAAAAGTGAGGGTCAAAGTTGTGATGACGGTAGAACAACTGTATCATGTCTTCTACACAGGATGCGTTCGAGATTTTATGCCATTTAAGCATCAGAGCCATCTTTAGGCTGGCTGCTATGCGGTAAGCATCTTCGTAAACTGGTACGGAGGTGAGAAAGAGGTCGAGAGTAACCCATGGATTTAAAGCCAGCTCTTTATCCTCTGAATGGAAAAATCTGCATCCTCAAGGACGAAGAGGTTCTCACTGAGTTTAAGGGGCTGATAAATGAAAAGTCGGTGTCCATCTTGTGGATGGTATCGACGAGTGAATCGAACACTTCGCGATGATAGGACACCAAATCGACGAATTGCATGCTCAGACACTACACCGAGAAGGTGCTCGCGACTGCAGACTTTGAGCGAGCGCTTAGAGCCGTCTTCAGCGGTCCCTGCGAAGCGCAACACCTCCCAACTCTCGTGGGTTCTGCCTTCCAAGGTCTGCAGAATCGATTAGCTGAGTATCTTTCAATGCAAGGAGGAAAGTCAAACCTCCCATGTGGAGTATTCTGCATTGATGACACCAAGAAGCGACCGGAGCTGGGCTTCCTTCTGTAGTACAAGGCAAAGAATATGGGTCTTAGATCTGACCAATCCGAGTAGATCCCAATCTCTACTCTTTGCGGGTTTTTTTGGGCATACTTGCCTGGTCTTGTTGCCTGTAGACTCTACTGCCGCCAACAGCAAGGTAGAGGAAGCCAAGGTTCTTTGCCATTTGAAGGTCTATAGGAAAACTAGGGGAAAATGAGGTGGAACTATCCATTCTTAAGATGTTTCTGTGAATGATGTTAGAGTCAGTTGCCATGCCTTTCACGGAAATGGAATAACGGTGATGAAGGTGGCTAATAAGCTCAGTTATCTCTGGGTAACTTACTGCAATACTCTGATTCTTTGGTGGCTTGCCACACTTAGAGAGCGTGAGAAAAGATTCTGGAACCAGGGACCAATATACACAGGAGGGCGCTGGCCTAATGTAGGCTTAGTTGCAGCGATTAGCTAACAAGAGACGGTAATGGTTAAGGCCATGCATATTGTGCGACAAAACTCACTCAACACCCCCGCTGATTGGTGGGTGTTCTATGTGAGGAACGCCCCAAGGCAGCTGCATGTGATTCGGCGTCGGCCCAATGCATTGTTCTTTTCAGCACATGCAGTGATCCATGTAAGGCATAAGGAGTGGTAAAAGCGGCTAAGCTGATCGAGCGGCATAGCTAACTTAGAGGATGTGTGTAGGAATGTGGAGGACAGTAGTTTTTGAAGGGCAGAAGGATGTGACAAGGCAACGAACTAACGTTAAGAGATTCTCAGCCTTATGGAGAGAAGACGCGCATGGTGTAAACAGTCGCTTTTGTCCTATTCTAGGGGCATATCTCCAACAGCAAGGTTCACATTTACCAACTCAATAGCTCTCTCTAGAATGCGCCGGTCGTCTTCGAACGTGATCGTTTTTAGGGCTTCCTCCCAGGAATAAAACTCCGGTATGAAATTGGCCTCTCCATCAGATTTGGTTGTACCGTTCTTGTCAAGTGCAGCGATGTACCACCAAATGAATTTTATGTTGAATTCCCCCAAAAGTCGAGTTGTGCACATGAAAGGTTCAGTAAGGTTAGGGACGATTCGAGCTTCATCTGCCACATCTCCCTTTTCATCCTTCGGTGGAGCGCGAGTCGACATAGTGACCGGGTGAAGAATGCATCTATATCCTGTCTCCTCAAACACTTCCCTCAACGCCGCCGTCTCCCGAGCTTCGCCGCAATTGCGTCGGCCCTTAGGCAACAACCATTCGTTCGTTGGGATGTATTTGACCAAGCAGACCTTGCGTTCTGCGAAATCGAATAGTATGGCGCCGCAAGATTCGACAAATTTGTCAGAGGCGTATTGGGTAGTGGGGTGTTTTGAGGATGCCATGATGCTTTCTCAGATCTCAATCGTCGTTATCTTCTTATCAAGTTATTGTAGTCTTCAAAAGAAAAGCGAGGGATGCTCACGATTAGAGATCTATTGTTTGCAGTCGCTAACGAAGAGTTGCAATTTACCTGGGCTGGTCTGGAGGCTTAGGAAAATGTTGTGCGGGAGGGTTGAGGGCGTTCTTGATGCAGTAAGCGCTGTAGCAGGTCACAAAGTTAGCACCTCGTATGGCCGGCCGAACCGTACTGGCGGGACTCGCCTAAATGAGTAGCTCCGCTGCAGTAGGTGTAACCGCGCAGGGCAGTAGGTCAAGGGGGAACCGCGCGAACCAGTAAAATCAGTATATTGTGTTGTTGTCTTGTGTTGTGTGACTGTCCCGCTCAGGGTCTGTTTACGTGACGTATCTGTTGTGCAGCCAGAAAGTGCCATTGGAACAGGCAAGAGCACTGAACCAGCACACGTGGCAGACATGACCTCTTCATTCCATAAACCGTCACAGGCTTTGTTGGGTGAGCCAGGCCGCAGACAGTCAAAAACCCAGCCAAGGTGAATAGGAACTTTCTTTCTCTGCCGACTTGCCTCTCTTTGGCTATTTGATAAGTTCTCGTCCCTCATTATGAAGTTCTGTAGGGATTGTCAATTGTCTGATCTCGAGACTGTCGCGCGTCAAGTTTCCTAAGATTTGCAGCCAAGGTTGTTGACAGTAGACATAACTGTACGCGTGAACATGAATGAGCAAATGGGGGTAAGGGTTAGGAAAAAAAGTTGTGGATATTTTCATTTAGTATTGTGGACCAAAGCTCTAGGAGTTCAGATCTGCCCTTATCTTGTCAATAGGTGTTGTGGTTGTGGAGTTATTGTTGTTTAAAGTGTATGGGTTAGTAGTCAATAGCCCAATCAGGTAAGGCTTGTTATCCAGGCGCACTAACCCAAAACGTATTTAATCAGCAATCCAAACAACACTGCACATTGCACCTGCACCTGCACTCAATAACAGTCACTGAGGCTGGCAATACATTGTTTGAGTTTGTCACAAAGATGCTACGAGTAGGCCCTTTAGGACTTGCTGGGAGTCTAAATCAATTACTACGTACGTGTAATAATAATCCACCCAGTCACACCTCATGGAACCTCATGGAACCTCATGGAACCTCATGGAA